TTGGTGTTGATCTTCAATATTTGAAAAATATTAGCTGGCAGATTTATATAATGAACGAGAGTACAGTTGTCGTCACATTCGATGCTTATACGAATATTACCACCTGAGCCTTTTTGTAGTTCGAAAGTAAAATGCGAATCGGCGCGTCTGCACTCTTTATTAATCGCGTAGATAAGTTCCTCTGTATTTTCATAAACCCCTGCCTGTAAGTGCAATTCTTTCACCGTAAACTTATCAGCATTTTTCTCATCATTTTCGTTCTTCAAATCGACAAATCTAACCTTATTACCTCCTTGACGTACGTGGAAGAAACTGGAGGGAAATTGAATCTCGCTAAGCGCGACTTCCCATTCTCCGAATAAATGTACACTATGAGGTAATTGTGTGGTGAAAGAAGAGGTTGTATTTCCCGGAAAATACTTCTTACTGCTATCGCTCGGAAGAACCATGAAAAATTGCTCCTCCTCATCTTGGAGAAAAGTTAAACTCGAAGCGGGGATCCAACTGTCGAATTTGTTGGGATATCCTTGCCAGCTAATTAGCACCTGTTTATTAGCACCGCGTCCTTTGCTCTTTATCACGCGCTCGACGATAAACTCTTCTTCCGCTAAGTTTTTATTGACCCGTGCTAATTCTTGTTCATAAAAAATCCCATCGATGTGTTCACCCAATAAATCGCACAATTCGTACACGCGGGGTTTTCGCCAATGGAGAACGCGACAAACTCGAAATATTTCCTCGCTCCACCGCGCTTCGTATCCTTTCTCGAAAGTAGCTTTCGCTCTACTGACATGTACGAGATTGTTAACATCGAATTTAGTCTTTTGTTCTACTACTTTCGACGCCCCCTTCTCTCTCTCTCGCCTCTACGTCACTCCATATTTTCACGTGCGATGCGGGCATTTTCTCTCGTAACGGTCGCCGGTTGCATTCTGATGGACGAATGACGGGTGTGATTGTAAGCGCGCACAATATCTTGCAACACATCGATGTAACGCCGCGTGTTTTTATGCGTAAAATAGCGCCACATTCGCTCCTTCAACGTTCTATTGAAGCGTCCAACGACAGCGGCTTTGATGTCTGGATTGCGAGCTACGCGATAACGTATGCCTCTTTCTTTCAGAAAATCTTGCAGCGGGCGTGCGATAAATTCTTTATCCTTGTCGGTTTGTAAGTATACGGGCGCTCGTCCATCGCTTCTCGAGAGAATGTTTTGGAAGCCTCTTGTCAATTACTCGTTTTATCCCGCAGCGGTTCCACCCAGACGAATTTGCTAAGTCGATAATCACGAGCAGATAAGAAAATCCGTCGTTATAACTCTTGAGACTACGGAGTTCGATCAAATCGACCTCCCACAGATCGTCGATATTCGTCACGTTGTAACGTAATCGTGGAAATTTTCGTCTCGAGGGGCAGTGTACGCATCTTGCGATTCGAGCCAGCGAGCTACTTCTTTACGAGAGAAATTCGGTTTAGCGGCATGCGCCAAGTTATCCGTTGCCGAATACCCCGCATAGTGCGCTGGATCGTAATACAAATTTTCAAGCCTGATCATTTCAATTCACTCCAATCGAGTAAGCGTCTCTTTCTTGCCTGTCGAGAATCTTTCACGAAGGTTATAGGGATATTGTCTTTACGAAAACGCGGCGAAAGAAACAATGCGCACTTCGCTCGCTCTACTTCTTCGGTCTTGCGTTTTTTTCCCTTTCTCATGCGTCGTACCCTCCTCGTCCCCGTCGTCGTCGTCGTCGCCGTCGTCGAAAGTTTTCTTGGTATTTTCGGGGTGGAACTCGCTTGTGATGGTGATAATATCTTGACAAATGTGGTTGCTAACAATTCCTTATTTCCTACGAGTACAGCCGGGGTGTTCGTCGTACGCAGTAATCGTGCAAACTGACTTCTTCCTATTGCTTTCACGGTTTTTTTTTCGCGCATCGCATCGTTTATTAGTTCCGTGATATTCGAATCTTTTATAACGTTACCCTCGATAGTCATGATTCCTTCTTCGTTCCAAGTAATTCTCGCGGGTACTGCTTTATCAATCAAATATAAACGTTTCAAAAATAAACGTGCCTTGGAAAACTTTTCGACACATTTTCTAATATTTTTTCGACGCTTTGCCGCTCGCGCCTACGCAAAGACTCGGCCCGTACTGTATTACTTACGTACTCTTCGAGATGAGGAGATTTGCTCGATGATTCGCGCGCCTGTTCCGCCACGTCTCCCTCCCGCGCATCTGAATTGTTCTCATCGGCGGCGTTACGCGTCGAATCTTCCTTTTGCGTTTTATCAAAATGAAGATATCGCCAAAGTTCCTTATACAATTTCCATTTCTCGCTTATATCGCGCGGAGTGGGTGAATTAAGAATCCTGCTCATATCTGAATCGAGTCGTGATAAAGGCGTACCGGATGTTTGTACGGAATTTAAATTTTCTCCCTGTATCATCTCCAAATTCTATCGTGCGACGTTTTTCGTCGTGCCTATTACCGGATGTTGTTGTTGTTGTTGTTGTTGGAACCGTTGCTGTATTCTTTCGAGATTATCCGTGGAAATTAAGACCATCTTCTTAGCCCTTTCCATAACTCGATTTCTTTTCTCTTGAACTACCCTCCGATAATTTTTGAAAATAGGAAGGATAGTTTAGGTCCGATAAGATACGGTAAAAATCCGCCTCGCTGTAGTAATAGCTTTTTCTTACTTTTCCAATTACAACGTTTTCTCACTAAGTGACGCAAAGTTGTTTTATATCTGCTTAGACGATTTTTTTCACTGCGTTCGAGCGGAACGTTACTCTTGAGAGTATTGAAAACGCACTCGCAGATACAGCGAATGAATTTTTCGTCTGCCCAGCGTAAGAAAGAGGCGCGCTGATTTTTGTTCGAATAACACAGCGCTTCGAGAAGACAGATATTTTTCTTACCGATCGAGCATTCCGCGATTGTTCTCGCATTAATCGATGACGTTCTCTTCTTCATCGCGAGGAACTCGCGCGACTGTCGCGAGAGAATGCGTGGACGATACTTTTATAGGAAACTTCCGGAAAAGGATCTGCGCGCTACATAAACGTAATTCGCTGTATCATCGAAAAATATGCTCGTGCGAAAACGATACTCGTCCGGCGTTGATTGTTTTAGATCAAGCAATAAATATCCATGAGGTTGGGACGTGGCGTCGTGGTACGCTTCCTCGAGAAACTTTGGATCGTTCGGATAGACTTGACGAGCGAGATGACGAATTTGCGCGCGATCCCGGGGATTTTTGAAAACCACAAAGTAATTCGCGTTCAGAGATATGTCGCGTTGTCCGCGGCCCTGGTGAAAGAGATTTTGTGTGATGAGAATTACGCTGAGATTTTTATGATGACTTCCCTTGGTAAACAGATCTACGATCGCTTCGCTCGAAGACGATTCCCTCATAAGATCGTCAATTATTATCAATTTCGGACGAGCCGGATCGCTAGAATAATCTTCCGGACGCGGTAATCCCTCGTCAAATTCGATCGCTGCAACGAAATCTCGAGTTTCGTATTGAAGCTGTTGATAAGCATCCTGCCATTCCGCGTAATAAAGCAAAATTCTTTCGAAACGTACATCGGCCATTTCGGATAAATGACGAAGAAATCTCTTCACAAAAATCGTTTTCCCATATCCTGTGGGTCCGCACACGATCGACGTCCACGG